TATTGTTTATTGTTCTCCTAAATAACATTTACTGTTTTCCCTAAAAAATACTGGCTTTGTAAGTGTGTTTAAGTGTCAACAAGACCTCCTGGGGGTATATATTTAAGCTGAGCCCTTAGTCTCCATTTTAGAACTGGATGACACAGCAGGACTTTGTAAGAGGAGTATTCTTATCTTATTCTTGATTGTCAGTCCCTGTGGAATGTTGGGTTGTTTTCTTTGATTTAAGCCTCTTGTTTAGTGTCAACAAGACCTCCTGGAGGGCCAGAGGCCTGTGGCCCTCTGGCCTCATATTACTATGTTTTGTAAGAACATTCTTCTAAATCGTACAGTACTCTTTTCTCAATTTGCTGTACTGAGGTAACCTGGATTTGCTGTGATGCTGATCCTTGTGCCATTAGGATGTAATATGCAATAACGGTTCCCCATGGCGGAGAGTGTTTGGTGGAACTCCCAGTTTAAGACAGGTTTGGAAGCAGGAGTGACATCCATTTCCTAAACGACATCCCTCTGGAAACTCTATGAACTTGGAGAAATGATAATACAGAAAGGCATCAGGTCTTTTGTTCATAGGGTCTGTATGAGTCATGCACAACTCGATGGCAATCAACAACAACAGCAGATGTTTTTCATAGATTCCACTGTATATCTCCATTAATTGGTTTTCCAGCCTTTGTGGTTCCCCCCCCCCCTCATTTTATGTTATTCCTGTGTATTCTTCTTGTAAAAATCTTACTGATATATTATTTGGATTGTTTTGGTCTTCGAATTGTTTTGGTCTTATGTTTAAACTCTTGGGCTCAAAGCAAAGCCAACAAAGAGAACCAATGGCATCAAGCAACCACATAGGACAAAGTAGAATTGCCCCATAGAGAAGGCAAGGCTGTCGCCTTTGCAGAAGATTGCTGCATCTTTATCCCATGGAGCAACTGGTGAGTCCAAACAAGAGGCCTTTTAGCTGTTAAAAGTGCCTTTAACAATGGTTCCACCAAGACTCATTTAAACTCCAATGACAGAAAAATTCAATTATCTGCTTATCCTAGCATTCAAGGCCTCCTGCATTCTAGTCCTAATCTAAATTCTTAACTCTAGTAATTATTCTTTAATGCCAATGATATACAACTAGTTAATAATGATCATGGAAATAGCCAACACATTCTAAAGGTCTACTGTAACTTGACCTTGACAGGCATTCATTATACATTTCCTCGTTTAGTCTTTACGCGTCACTTGGCAATGTGTCTTTCTATTATATATAAAAATCACTAGACATCAGAGCAATCCCAACAGCTGCAAATCACAAGATCAAACCCCCTAAACTTCACTAGTGGGCTTGAGTTCATGATTTCCCATGAAATAGGTTTATCAACTATGTAAATAATTCTTATTTTTATAGCTAGAAAAAGATTGGGCCATCATTTGAAATTGAGGCAACCATTATGTGAAAAGTTGGCACGTTCAATTCCAGCAGTAGCTCCTGAGAGAGAGTTGGCAGTCTGCTCTCATAAAGATTACAATCCAGTAAACCCTGTTACATGGGCCACTGTGAATCAAAATCATCTCCACAGTACCTGACAGCAACAACATGCTATCATCCAATATTCTTCAATTTTTTTTACATTTTATCTCTCCCTTTCCTCATCTTTCATCCCCAAACTTAATTTTATAGTACTTCCTTTTTTTCCATGTCTCTAATTTTTCCCCCATCAAAACGAGCCCATCTGTCATATTCCTCTCTGAGTTTACTTTCCCCATCAAAACTTCCCTACCAACTTGCATCAAAATCACCTCTCCCTCCCGCTAAGTCAGTAGTCTCCAACTTTGGCTGCACATCGGAATCACCTGCGGAGATTTGATATAATTGGTCTAGGAAACCACCTGGGCATCGAGAGTTTTAACTCTCCCAAGGTGACTCCAAATGCACAGACAAGACTGAACAGCACTGCTCTAAGATCTTCAGGGTGTTTCTGACACTACAACTCTTTTGACAAAATTCCAGGCTGGCGTGATTTAGTGACAGCTTTGGGAATCTGCTATTTTTTTTTTCTAAATGAAGGTGTTGAATATGATGAGTGATCTTCAGATATTTTTGGTAAAATGTGTAGAAACTTTTGGAAACACATAAAACTGTTAAAAAATAAGAAAACAGAAACAAAAAATAAGGAAACAGAATAATTTTTTGCATGATATAGAGGAAAACAACAAATCTCACTAAGTTGCTTCCTTCCACCATTACATCTCTGGAGCCCCTACATGAAACCTCTAAGACACTTATTATCAAAATCTATTTGCACTGGACTAGGTAAGTCATTTTTACCTGTAAAAGTCTGAGATTCTGTGGTATCATGGGTAAATTAAAGAAGAAATCTCTTTATATTATCTATTTTGTTGGACAATTTCTCAATAATGTGTTATTTAGCTAATAGAGCAGCTGTTTCTTAGGGAATCATATTCATCCAACAATTAGGAATTATATTTTAGCAGGTACTAAACAGCTGATATTAATATATCAAACTCACACAACCACCTCTAAGGACAAATATTAGTATAACCCTTCCTGGTGAAGATACCGAGTGTTGAAGGGTTAAGTGACTCACCTGAAGCTGTGGTCCAATTTAGTAGCACATACCCAACTCCTAATCCAGAGTTTATTCTATTTCTTATAAATATTTTATGAACCTCTACATTACCTGTCTCTACTGGCATGAAAACATTTCTACTAATGAGTAGCACCGAGCTGTCTCTAAGCTACTAGAAACCAAAGTTCAGCTAGAACTTAGTACCACAGACATACACACATTTCTAGAGTTCAGCAGAGAAACGCACATGCACACACAAGTTTTGTATTCACATAAGATAAAATGTTCTAATACTTTTTAAGAAAATGGAAACAATAAAATAACATTCTTTGCAACAAAATTGTGACATCTTGCAACTATCATGTGAAAGAGAAAAGAATAAATCAATCAATCAGAAAATCTCTTATTTCCAAACTAATCAAATAGTCACAGAAGTGAGAAAATAAGGAAAGAAACCATCTGACGTGGGTGCCTTGGTTTATACGAAGACTCAGCTGGCCGCAATTCATTTTTTTATTTCCATTTTACTTCTCTTTTTCCAACAGATCATTTTCCCTACTATATGAGGATCAGTTCAGAGGTCTGCCATATTAAACTGTCACAGGAATACAAGAGGATAAAAGATGCCCAATAGTATGAGACTCAGAGGTGAATAATCCATCAGGAGAAGTGCCATCACTAAGTCAAGATAGGAATGCACCGTGTAGACAGATATCCATCCAGGGAGCCTGAATCCTCTCAGCTTCATATATCTTATTACTCATGCCAATAGGCTCTAAAATTTGAAAAGCATTTAATGCCCTAGAAATTATAGGTGAATTCTCTTTCTAACATCAACATTTAAATAAATTAGGCATAACACTGAAATAGAACAACATATATTCTCTGAAAGACTTTACTTTGATATTAAAATCCTACTGCTCCAATGAAAGCCACATCTGTTCTCAGCCTTAAGTAACTAAAAAATAGTAAACACATTATACTTTGGCCCTGTATATTTAAATTTACATGCAGCACATAACATTGCTTCAAATTTAGTATATTGCTAATAATATCACTTTAATTCTGTATTTAGAAAACATAACTTGCATTAGTTTTAATAAAAACCTGCATTAACTATAATTGGCATCAAGCTTAATCGAGGAAAGCTCTTCGACTGACTGGCACTTCTATATTTTAGAAGGAAAATATGTGGAGTCCATAGATGGTGTAAAGAGTTAATATACTTAATTGCTAATAGAAAGTGACTGATTTTTGTCCACCCAGAGATTGACACTTCAGAAGAAAGTCCTGGTGATGTCCTTCTAAACAATCAATCATTAAAACTCAATGGAATGTAGTTATATTCTGACACACATGTATATTTAAATTCACAAATACTACATAATATTCCTGCAAACATATAAAAATCAATTCAAGAGGAATTAGTTATATGTTAGCATGCTTTAGGAGCCCTGGTGGTATAGTACCATAGCTCTAGTAGTATACTATGTTGTCTATTGTGCTTCTAGCCAAGGGGTCAATGGTTTGAATCTAGCAGCTGCTGTGCAGGAAAAAGATAGCAGTAGAAGATAGGCAGTCACTTCTCAATTTAACTGTTAGACTACTAACTGAAAGGCTGTCAGCAGTTCAAATCCAACAGATACTCCAAAGAGAAAAGATGGGGTGTTTCCTCTCAGCAAGATAAATAGCCATGGATACTTGATAGAGTGTCTCCATGAGTCAGACATAACCTGATAGCAATGGGAAGTGAAAAAACAATATTTGGACATAGCACATTTATTGTATAACTTCCTTTGTCTCTCTTCCTAGAAATTTACTTCAGAAATGTGTGATGTGTAGGTGAGCAATCTAGGCCATAGTTATTTGAAGCTAGGGCATATGTTGGACCTAGAATGCAGTAACCTGTAGGTGATTGCCACTGAATTTGCCCTCTAAGAATGCATTTATGCCAGATGGTGGAAATTCAACCACAATAAATACATCTCCTTGAAAGGTTGAATGTGAAATGTGCAAATAGATACAGTCAGTTCACCACCGCAGAAGTAAAGGCAGTTGAAGCAAAATGACTGAATGAATCAGAAAATTGGACAAGTTATTTCTGAAATGTATGTTTTATTCAGATGGATACATATGCTTTGATATGTGTAGAAAGGCAAGTGAGGCATAATGGCAAAGCTCAGGAGGAAGAAAGGATCAGCTGACCTTTCTAGAGATAGCACAAGGGCTATTACCTGAGCAATGTTGGATCCTGCACAACTCCCTATGACAGGAAAATGAGGTTGAAGTTTTATTCTGAATGGAGGGCCAGAATAGACAGTGTCTGAAGCTACATCCTATTCTTACTTATCAAATTTCCTTGCATATGCTGAGCTTATCTCTGTTAAAAAAAAGGAACAAACCAAAATAAAACCCCATGAGACTCTATACCAAATCTATTGCTTCACCATCTTAGCATCAAAAGAGCCATCCAGGTCTTGAGGATAAACAACTTTGAACCAAACTGTCTGCGGAGACGACCATCTGACGAGAATAGCTTCGCCCCCTCAGAGGTTCAGCAGTGGACCAATCACCGTGTGATGGAGTGGCTGCGCTCAGTGGACCTGGCCGAGTACGCCCCCAATCTCAGAGGCAGTGGTGTCCACGGGGGCCTCATGGTTCTGGAACCTCGTTTTAATGTAGAAACAATGGCTCAGTTATTGAACATTCCACCAAATAAGACTTTGTTGCGGAGACATTTGGCCACTCATTTCAACCTTCTGATTGGTGCAGAGGCCCAACAGCAGAAGCGCGATGCCATGGAGTTACCAGATTATGTCCTTTTCACAGCTACCGCCAAAGTGAAGCCAAAGGAATTAACCTTCAGCAATTTTGGGAATCTGAGAAAAAAGAAACAGGAAGATGGTGAAGAATATGTTTGTCCAATGGAATTGGGACAGACTTCAGGAAATTGATCCCAACTTTAAATGAACATCATAAATGGGTTTAAATATTACTGGATTTGGGGACCAATTGCTCTACTTAGCAATATTTCTTTTTCAAATTTTTCTCAATAAAACCACAGTTAACAAATACCACTCTTCTACTTAATAACTCTGTGATCTTAGATACATCTCTAGATCCTCAACTGTGCAAGAGATGATATTGTCGTTCATAGAGTTTTGTGAGGAGCTCTGGTGGCTTAGTGGCAAGAAGCTGCACTGCAATCCTGAAGACACGCAGTTTGAGGCCTCCAGCTGCTCCTCAGAAGAAAGATGGGCCATCTCCCCACACACAATTAAATGACTATAAAATTCACTCGGAGTCAACTATGCGGCCCATTCCAACTTCATGGTACACAACAACAACAACAACGAGTTTTGTGAGAATTAAATGAAATCATTTATGTAACCCTGTAGAACAGGCTGCTAATAAACACTAAGGAATGGCTGTTGTTGTTGTTATGTGTCATTGAAATGCTTGTGACTCATATCTCTGAACTCTGTCCTACCCTGATCCAATATCACTATTATTTAAATAGTAAACTAAATTAAAGACTATATTCCAGTTTAAAACAGCATTGTCTGCTCTAAATGGGTGATTAATCATGGTGTGAAATAGTGGAAAACACCCTGAGTGTATTTTCATTGCTATTATTTCATTGAAATACAAAGGTGAAAATACAGCTCTCAAATGATACCAATTAGGCACATTAGTTCATTACAATTAATTTGGAATATAAGATTTGGCAAAGAAAATATGCTTAGCCAAATTATTTGCAAATCCTCCTGTAACCTAGACAAGACTTCCAAGCTATTCATAAAATTCCTGGCCCCAGGATATTCACAGGAGCTATTCATCAAATAATTCAAACAGCTGATAAAGAGGTGGCCGAAACAGAAATGATTGAATTTCTCTCTAAGGAGCCAGAGTGAATCTCTGGCAAAAAACAAGAAGCTATTATGTCATGTCCAATTTATTTGGTCTAGTGATTCAAAGAAGACTGTTACATCCATTGCCATCATTTCTCTTTCTAAAGTCCTAATGTTCATTAGGAAATGTCCTTAGCTACTCTAAAGATTTCATGTTCATTACCTACATTAGATTGAATAAACTAGACATGGTCTAGCAGAGTGATAAAGCAATATTAGCAAACAGATTCTGGACATTAGTGTCTTAAAGGAGCTCTCAGGGCTGCAATCCATGGCCCTGGACCCTTCCCTACCCAGCACTACCGGCACCACACTGGAATTCCTCCCTGCTTCTATTTGAACTCAAGGGTGGTTGGTTTTTAGAAGTAAGAGGATTAATAGGCCCAGAAGCAGATGCTTTCTTACAGTAAGTACTATTGTATTATCCAATTGTGCTTTATGCGTGGTTGATAGCAATCACTCCCCAAAGAGAAATTTCTTAAATACCTCTCTATTTTAAGAACCACATTTTGGTAATTTTATTAAGTTAGAAATTAAACACTTGCTGGCTAAAGTGCATCACTGACTGTGAACAAAACTGTGCTTAGAGGCCCTTTAAAAAGTGGATAGTCTCTGCGTTCTTCAACTTTATTTTCCCCCAGCTAAATAAAAAGTAAAAATGGTAAATTCCTGGAGTGTTTCTAACTTGTCTGGTCACACAGAAAATAGACCCAAATCCTAGTCAAAAGAATTTTATCTGTAAAAAACCTGAAGAACTCCAAGGTTACATTTTAGGTCCTCAAAACTGTGCTTACAGAACACATCAATAAAAATTCATAATAAAATGATGCTGAGTTTTTCTACATCCTTTTATAACAGACAGAATATTCTCAGAGTTTTCTTTATGTATCTGTGCAGGGAGTGGGACATTGAATCTAGAAATCCTGGTAAACCTAGCTTATTTTATCTGTGGCTTAATTCTAAAGAAATGCAAGCACCTATGGTGAGTGATTCTTGCATCTTTCAAAATTTTGCCAATAGAATGCACAGGAGGAACCAAAAGAAGATGGAATCTAAAAAATCCCTATACCAAAAATAATTGGTCAACATCAAACATTTCAGTAGACTATGTGATAGAATGCTCTGGTGGCCTAGTGGCAAGAAGCTGCACTGCAACCCCAAAGGCACGTGGTTCGAGGCCACCAGCTGCTCCATGGAGAAGTATGGGCAGTCTCCTCCTGTCCAATTAACTGCCTCTGAAAACTCACTGGAGGGTTAGCAATGGGTCAGTTCTGACTCTAAAGTGCACAGTAAAATGTGATGGTCAATATTGTGTATCAAGATAATCCACAATATAATACAACTGTCTTATGTGTTATAAACTCTAACCTCTGCAATGTTAATGCATAGTCAATAAAGCACAAACAGAAGTTCTTCTGATATCCCCTTCTTGAAGCCAAGATCCATTTGACACTAGCAATGATAACTCTGGTACCAGAGCATCTCTTAAACCCTGCTTGAACTTCTGACAGTTCTCTGTCAATGTACTGTCCTATCTGGTTTTGGATGCTCTTCAGCAATATTTTACTTGCATGTGATATTAACAATAGTGTCTGATAATCCCCACATTCTGTTGGATCACCTGTCTTGGGAATAGGAACAAATATGGATCTCTTCCAGGCAGTTGGCCAGGTACATGTCTTCCAAATTTCCTGGCTCAAACTGGTAAACATGTCTAGGCCTGCATCTGAGACTTGATTCAGTAGCCAAATCTGTAAGTTCTTTGTATCTATTTAGGAAGCCTATGTAACTTTCCTTGCTATATGACATTGATAGGTAGATAGATAAGTAGATAGATAGATAGATAGATAGATAGATAGATAGATAGATAGATAGATATAGATAGTACACACAAACACGTACCTACTTACACATATATGCATATAGATACATCCTATATCCTTGGGAGACTTTATAAGACTGCCCTAGGAATTTAAGACCACCAACAGATTAAGTCCTATTAAGACATTTCTACATAGATATACAACTAAGCTGAAAAATTAGTATTTCAAGCCTACATTGAGGTACTATGGAAGACAGGCTTGTAAATGTGCTTCCAAAAGGTCACAGTCTCGAGGTAGGTATGTTTTGTATGCATGAGGATGTCATTAGTTAGAGTCAGCTCCCATAGCAACTAAGAGCAATAGCAACTACACAGATAAATATTTTATCTATTTGTAATAACTATCACAACATCGATTCTCTCTTTCTATGAAAACAAAAGACAAATTGTTTCAGGAAAGTCCACTGTCAGGGATCTTTCAAGAATGCTAAAGAGCAATGACATCAGTCTAGAGACTAAGGTGCTATTTATTATTCTGGCCACAGTCCTCTCAATTGCCTGCTGTGCATCTGAAAGCTGAATGAGTAGGGATGACAAAAGAACAGTAGTTACCTTTGAATTGTGATGCTACAGAAGTGTATTGACCATACCATGGATTGGAAAGGGAACAAGCATGTCTGTAACAGACAGGGTGAAACCAGGTTACCACCACATGGAGGCAAGGATTTGGAATTTCTATCTCACATACTTTGGGCATGTTGCCAGAAGAAGCCAGTACCTAGAGAAGAACATCAGGTTTGAAAGGTTAGAGGGTTAGTGCAAGAGAGGAAGACCCTGGATGTCATGGATTGACACTGTGATAGGTTGTTAATAAGTTTAGGATTATTCAAACACATAGTATAGCTCTAACAATTGACATCCTGATTTTCAGCCTACAAAGCTGATTGAACCATCTAATTAACATTTGCTTGGCCCTCAGAATCCTGTTTCAATTTTTTTATAGTCATGCAGAATACCTTAAGCTGGCTGTTTTCTAGGGTGGAAATGCATCTTTCCTGAATTAGCATCTGTCCTTCCTCAGTCAAATATAAACTGTGCCCCAAGATATATGTTAACTAGAAACTGTATTAAAACTAATATAAGTAGCCTGAAGCTGTATTTTTCTTAGTTATTTGTAAACTGCACTTTAAAATGTCTGTTAACCAGAGAAGGAAATGCATCTTCCCTCAGTTAGCATTTTGAATGTATTTTTCTCAGCCATATGTGAACTGTACTTCAAGTTATCTGTTTACTAGGAACAATATGTAAATTATTCTTTTGAGTGTAAGTCCCTGTAGCATTGAACTAGCAATAGTAACATGTTAAGTAGATAATTTCTATAGATAAGTTTGAAAACCAATAACCATCCTTATATAGGTAGGTAGTTTTTCAGAGAATTCTTTCTCTTTTCCAAAATCTGCAAAAAAAAAGTGGTTTGGATATTGCAATCCATCTGTCTATGACTATAGAAAGATCTCCTTGTATTCACTAAAAACAGGAAAAGGGTACAGGTGTGTCAGAGAAGGTGAGGTAGACTCAAGATAGGGCAAGCTTCAGAGCTATTATTCATATTGTCGATATGAGTAATAGTCATAGCACACAATAACTTTGAGAAACAATAGTTACTGGAAGGCTGGCTTCAGGTCTTTGGTTCATAGGGTTGCTATGAGTTGTGCTCGACTTGACAGTAATCAACAATAATAACAAAACAGGATAATATTTATCTCCAGAATATATATATGTATGTATGTGTGTATATATATATATATATATATATATATATATATATATATCCCCAGAATTTATGTCTCTCTGGGTTTCATTGACTATGCAAGGGCATTTGTGTGGATCACAACAAACTATGGCTGACTTTGAGAAGAATGGTAATCCCAGAACACTTGATTGTGCTTATGTGAAACCTATACTTGGTCCAAGATGCAGTCACAGAACAGAGCAAGGAAACACTGCATGTTTCAAAATTGGGAAAAGTGTACAACAGGGATATATATGTCCTATAAACAAAATTTTCCAATGTATATGCAGAACTGATTTTCTGGAAGGCTGGACTATCTGAGGAGAAATATGGCATCAGGATTGGAGGAAGATTCATCTACAATCTGTGTTATAAAGATGGCACAACCCTGCTTGCTGAAACTGAGAAGGACCTGAAACAATTGCTGCA